GTACCTGAACTGCATCAACACAATATTTCGCCAAGTGGTATAGTTCTGGGTGGCAATTTAAGCTTAACTGACGCAATGACAGTATTTCAAGAGGCTGCTAAATGCAATGGTTTCGAGTATTGTCAACAACTTTGGAACCACTTCGACTTAATTGCAAATGTACCTGTGCGCAATGTGAGTACCAAGTCACGCGTTGGTTAAATGTGATTTTGATATTGTTTTTAATTTTATGGCATCGTTATCTACATTAGTAAGCTATTTCAAGTGCTTTATATATATTTTAGCACTTATCGAACCTCACTCAAAATATTTTGTATTGTTCCATTTTTATTTTTATTCACTTGCTTTTAGATGGGCACCTTAGCCGGCAATTTAATGATAAAATACTACCGCAAAGATTTCCCCTCTGACGTTTTCATTGTTTTTGAGGCATTAAATGCTAAAATATCGCTTCTCGAGAGCGCCAAAAAAGAGAAGACGGTGACAATTGCAGAGTTTCTGAAAACTTCGATGCGCGGTAAAGTCATAAGAGCAATCATTCTTCCGCCATATTCACGCGCGCAATACATCTTTGATTCCTACAAGGTATTGTTTGAAAAAAAGAAAAATTTCAAATTTTAATAAAATAGAACTTCTTGTGACTTGCTAGATTATGATTAGGGCACAAAACGCGCACGCCTACGTGAATGCCGCTTTCCTCATAAATACCGAAAAGCCCAGCCATAAAGTCAAATCGGCGCGGCTATGTTTTGGTGGTATAAATCCTGATTTCGTTCATGCAACAGAACTGGAAAAGATACTAGCTGGTAAACAATTACATGATCCTGAACTTGTTGCAAAGTTGTTTTCGATAGCTGGGCAGCACTTCGTTGCCGATGCAGTTTTGCCAGACGCATCTCCTGAATATAGGCAAAAATTAGCTTGTGGCCTTATTTTTAAATTTCTTTTGCGGCATGCACCGTCTAGCGCAATTCCAGAAAAGCTGCGCAGTGGAGCAGAGATTCTTAAGCGACCAATATCTTCGGGTAAACAAGTGTACGAAAGTGTGAAGGCAGAGTTTCCTGTTCACCAGCCGACAGTAAAATACGAAGGTGTGATGCAGACTGCTGGGGAAGCCACCTATTCAAATGACGTTCCCGTACAGCCGAATCAATTGTGGGCTGCCTTTGTTACAGCCAAGAAAGTCGGCGCTATAGTAACACATATAGATACCTCTAAAGCACTGAAATTGCCTGGAGTTGTAGCCTTCTTTTCTGCTAAAGACATACCTGGAAAAAATACAATTTGTGGCAGTGAACAATTTGTCTTTACCGAGAACGAGGAGCTATTTCCAAGTGGTGCTATTAAATTTTATGATCAACCAATCGGTGTTATAGTAGCCGAGTCTAATACCATTGCCAATCATGCTGCTGGGCTGGTGGAGCTCACTTATGCCGGCGGTGCCAACGAAGTTTTACCCACGCTCCATGATGTTTTGGACAGCGCCTGCGCGGATAGAATTGATCATACCGTCAAGTCCCTAATCGAGACATTAAAAATTGAAGAAAAATACGATGTCCATGGGTCTGGAAAATTAGATTTGGGCTTGCAGTATCATTACTTCATGGAACCACACAGCACCGTGGTAATTCCGTTCGAAGGTGGGCTGGAAGTATATGCGGCGGCTCAGTGGATGGACTTGGTTCAGGGCGTTCTGTCTGAATTGCTTAATATAAAAGTTAATGAGATTCAAGTTAAAGTACGGCGACTGGGTGGCGGATATGGTGGTAAGGGAACCCGCAACGTTCCAGCTTCTTGTGCTGCCGCATTGGCTGCCTTCAAGCTTAACCGTCCGGTGCGTTTCGTACAATCTATAGAGTCGACGATGAATGTTCTTGGAAAACGTTGGGCTTTCCATTCAGATTATGATTTCTACGTTAAAAATACAGGCAAAATAGTGGCACTGCGTAATATATTCTACGAAGATGCCGGTTGCTCAGCCAATGAATCTCCTCTGGGACACACTGTCTTGCTGGGTAAAAATTGCTATGAATTCAGTGATAACTACAAGTTGGATGGCTATATGGTGTTCACCGATTCGCCTAGTAATACAGCGTGCCGTGCACCTGGCTCTGTGGAAGGAATTGCCATGATTGAAAATATACTCGAGCATATTTCCTTCGAGACGGGATTGGATCCCGTAGACGCTCGCATTGCCAACCTAATTTCGGGTCATAAAATGTGCCAAGTTTTGTCATACTTTGTAGAAAGAACGGATTACAGAGCCCGAAAGCAGGCGGTAAAAAGTTTTAATGAAAATAATCGCTGGCGTAAGAAGGGTCTCGGCATCGCTATAATGGAGTACCATATCGGTTACTTTGGCCAATTTCCGGCCACTGTGGCAATTTATCACACCGATGGCACTGTGATTATTTCACATGGTGGTGTTGAAATGGGTCAAGGTATGAATACCAAGATCGCTCAATTAGCGTCTTTTGAGCTGGGTATACCAATGAATATGGTGCGATTCGAAAACAGTAATACTGTCAACGGTGCAAACAGCATGGTAACTGGCGGCTCAATCGGTAGCGAAACAATTTGTTTTGTAAGTACAGTATTTCGTGAAATGCGATTCTGAAAATTTTTCGCTAAAAATGCAAGTTCTTATAGGCCGTACGCAAGTGTTGCAATACAATCAAAGAACGACTGAAGCCAGTGCGCGAATCCCTGAAAAACCCCACATGGCTAGACGTCATACAGTCAGCTCATAGTCAACATATTAGTCTGATTGCAAACGATAATTGTAAGCCGGACGACATGGATCCCTACACTATTTGTGCCCTGGGCCTAATTGAGGTTGAGGTTGACATACTCACGGGCAATTATCAGTTACCACGGGTGGATATATTGGAGGATGCTGGCGAGAGTTTGAATCCAAATGTGGATATAGGACAAATTGAGGGTGCCTTTATGATGGGCCTCGGCTATTGGACTTCGGAGGAGATAATTGTCGATAGAAATACGGGAGAGATGAAGACAAATCGTACATGGAACTACAAGCCACCTGGCGCTAAAGATATACCGATCGATTTCCGTATTGAAATGTTGCCAGGTAGTCCAAATCCGGCTGGATTTATGCGTTCCAAGGGTATGTGACTCATAAAAATTTTGTTGTTAAAATAATTACTAAAAATTTATTTAATATTTTAGCGACGGGTGAGCCGGCGATATGTTTGCCAATAGCAGTAGGCTTTGCTTTACAAGAGGCTTTACAATCCGCACGTTCGGATGCTGGGTTGGCAAAAGAATGGATTCCGCTGACGGCGCCAATGACTCCCGAAAGAGTTTTGCTAAAGTCAGGCACTGATCCCAGCATGTTCCAGTTGAAGTGAAGATAAGCGTTCAAATATTTGCACGTATTTATTATAAGAATGTTGATAAAGCGTTTTTGGATTAGAATAAGCAAAGTTTCCAAGTAAAATTTTTATTTGTTGTAATCAAACTTAACGATCAAAGAGTTATGTACAAACCTTTTTACCAATTGGAACTGATCTCAAGTCAAAATTGATCAAATATACTTGTGATTGTACATATGTATGTACATGTTGCATGCCATACTAAAGTTTGTTGCAGCTCTTTGATATAATTTTTATTAGAATATCTGTCAAAAAAGCTGCTACTAACTTTTAAATCGACTTTATTTCGACTATGAGCTATAATTTGGCTATTTTTTAAGAAGAAAAAATTCTAAGTAAATATTGTACATTGAAATCCATTAAACAATAATAAAAATACTTTTTTTATTACTTAATGTCTGTCGATTCCGGCGAGAAATTTTGTCAACATATTCTGACAAAATTTGATCTTCTTTTTATATACCTTTACCGATTATATTATGGGTAAAAAACAGACAGATAGCCGATTTAGCAGCCATGTATACTACTGAAGCCCTACATATTCTGATCTAAATCATTCGATATACCAATTATAAATGCAAGCTGCCTTGCTTACTATTTTTTTGTGTACAAAAAAATGTACCGAAAAATAAAAATTAAGCAAAATGTATTTTAACTCTAGATTTAGTTATTCAGATATTTTACAAATACACATTGGCAATATAGTTAACAAAACAAATTATTCGAGTATTTTCTGAACTATTTTATAATGCTGGCATATACCCTTCTTAAGTTGAACTCTCTGTAGAAATGGATAAATGCTTTTTTATTAATGATATTAAACCGAGTAGCTATCTATAAACAACCCGTTACATAATTATAACCCCACAACATTTTCAAAAGTTCATTGCCAAATCGTTATTTTAAGTTAATAAGTAGACGTACGAAGATTTTACCTTGAAAGTACTTTTGAAGAGGGTTGCCACCTGCTACACATATCGAGTTGGCAACGAAAAGAACTGAAATATCCTTGGACACAACTCTAACCTCCGGCAAACACAGATTAGAGACGGCACTCTAATTCCTTAAATATATTTATTCAAAAAGTGGGTCAGCTAACGGGACGTCAAGCGATTTTTAAATGTTTACTCGGCAGTATTTTTAAAGCACAAAAAAACAAGGCCAGGTAAGCAGTAAAAAGGTGAAGGTGAATGGATGTTTTGCTAAGTTATGATTAACCTAGTAAAGTCTTAATTATTTAACAAATAATAAATAAAAAGTAATTTCTTTTCGTAGATTATTCGGTAGAGTTTCCACGATTTTTAAATGACTCTTCAGGGCTGGATCGCATTTATAGCCTATTTCCACCAAAAGCTTAAGTGCAGGTAAGAGGTCAGGTAAGTTGCAAGAATTTTCACATGGGGTGATCGGCAGGGTTCATTTTTTACTTTTTGCCTTTTTAATTTTGTTTGCTTGTACCTAATATGAGCAATTACCTCTTTCAAGTTATTATCTCCCTTTTAATTGGCATAAAATGCAGTTAAGGCTTGGTGGAAATGAACTATTTACCTGGCAACACCACCGATGGACGATTTAAAATTAATTCAAGAGATTTGGTGGGTGAAGGTAGTGGGAAGGTAGTGCTCACTTGACAAAAACGCAAATTAAATGAGTTTGTACAACATGGCCATTAATGTAGCGATATGTTGTACAACTTGCCAGAAAATCCAAATTTTTTTATCTTTCATACAACCAAGACATAAATTCATTAAACAGGCCCACAAACGGTGCCAACTAGAGCAAAATAACACCAAGTTGAGCCAACGGTCGCTACGTTTATGGCTTTCTTTAAGAAACATCGGGCGAAAATTTCAACTGCTCCTGTAACACTACCTTATATAAGTTGGCTTGCTATCATCCTCACATATGTTCATCAGAGTATACCAACGAAGGACGAGTTAATACAAGGAGATAGCGAGAGCACAAAACTACTCTAGAAAATTACACGCACAATGACAAACAAAAAAGTACAACAAACACATAATTTTTGACAATCAGTACAGTTCGCATTTATATCAACGAGCAACTTATTAGATTTGTTTTCGTTTGTACTACATATGTGCATATATACATGTACACATACATATGTGCATACACAATCATATGTACATACATACATATATATATACAACCATTCAAACATATGTACATTAGACTGCATCGGTACTATTTTTCCATTGGAATTATAAAATCTACTATATTTTAAGACGTCCACCAAAATTTTTCGGAAAAATATTAAGATTTAAGTGAGCTGGACCGATTTGAAAATACCTCCAAAAATGGTTTTTTTTTATGAATAAAAATAGTTCCTTAAAGATTTTTTTTTAAAAAATCCCCTCAAATGACAAAACGGGTTAAGCTTGCATAAAAATATTAAAAAAAAAATTAAAAAAAATCGTAATGATGATGATGTTTTTAACATTTTTCAAAGATTGGTCTAAGAAAAACTTGAATAACTGAACCTAAACCCTTCCGATTTAGACTTAGGAGGTGTCATTGGAAAGGTATTTTCTCACTCTTTTCATTTATTTGCTAATAAACTTATTCAAAGGATGGAAGGGAAAGGTAGGAGAAACGAACCTCATTCAAAGTTGAATTAAGATCTTTTGGTATTCGAAAAAAAAAGATGGGACACGAATCACGTTTCTTTTGGAAATAAAAACGGTGTGAAAATACCTTTCTACTGAGATCCCATAAGTCTAAATCAGAACATTTTTGGCCCAGTTATTCAAGTTTTTCGTAAATCAATCTTTGAAAAAAGTAAAAAAACAACATCATAAATCTCATTCTTACGATTCCGATGAAAAGATTTTTAAATATTAGATATAGATTTTTTAAGCTTATTCTAATTTGTCATCTGAGGGGACTTTTTTCAAAAAGTTTTTTAAGAAACTATTTTTATTCATAAAAAACTTCATTTTTGGAGGTATTTTCAAATCGGTCCAGCTCACTTAAATCTTAATATTTTTACGAAATATTTTGGTGGACGTCTTAAAATATAATAAATTTAGTAATCCCGGCGGAAAAACCGCAACTTTTTTTGGTGATGCAGTCTA